CTGTGTGTGCCGCCCGACATCAACAACCTGACCCTGTGTGTCTCCAGCTCCGCGAGCGGTTCCGCGAGGACCTTCCTGTCCTACGTCTGCACTCTAACAGAAATGGCGAGTTCTCCTCCGACGTCTTACGGGACTTCGTCCGCGATACTTCCGCGGACAAGCTCTCCTCCCGCGCCATTCCCTGCATCTTCCTTGGCTTTCCCCCTGACGCGCCTGGCTGGCAATTTTACCACCCCACCTCGCGCCATGTCTTGTCCTCTCAGGAGGTCACGTTTGACGAGTCGGTTCCCTTTCACCGTCTCTCCCCCCCCCCCCCCCCCCCCCCCCCCCGCCGCTCTTCCTTGCTCTAGGTCCCCCTCCGGTAGACCCCCTCCCCCCTCAGGGTCTTGCTCCCTCAGGTGTGTCTCAGGTAGACCCCCTCCCCCTTGCTGTGCCCAACAAGGTCGCTGGAGACTCGGGTGCTGCTAGAGGTGCTGCGTCTGGGGGTGCTGCGTCTGGGGGTGCTCAGCCTGCGAGTGCGGAGCCTGAGGGTCGGAGCCTGGGGGTGCTGAGTCTGAGGGTGCAGAGTTTGTGGGTGCTGAGCCTGAGGGTGCGGAGCCTAGGGGTACTAAGCCTGAGGGTTCGGAGCCTGGGGGTGCTAAGTCTGAGGGTGCAGAGTCTGGGGGTGCTGAGCCTAGGGGTACTGTGTCTGCCGGAGGTTCTGCGGGTGCGTTACCACGACTGTCTCACCAGCGGGAGCCTCTCTCACCGCAGCAGCTGCGCGAGTGGTTTGCTCAGCGCACATGCGTTAGGAGTGGCGCTGCAGGAGCTGGAGGCCTTAACGCTGGAGGCATTGGAGCTGGAGGTGCCGAGGCTGCTGGTCTTGGAGGTGCTCGTACTAGTGGTACTTGTGTCAAAATGTTATATTGCTTACATTGTGTAGGCTATAGTGGGGTAGCCCATAAGGGGTACAACCCAACTCTTTCATAGTTCATTCATTCTCGTTCATTCTTCTGACATGGTTTCCGAGCAGGTCCTTCGTTAGGACCGTTTTTTTTTTTTGGCCCACCAAAGCGCTACCCCGCTAGCAGCCCTCTGCAGCCCTCGTGCTGCCCCTACTGCCCTGAGCGCCCCGTCGATCCTAGGCCCAGGCCCGCCCATTGCCCCTAGGCCCCGCGCGCCCGCCGACCCCTATGCCCCGGTGCGACCCGTCGATCCCTAGGCCCCGGCCCGCCCGTTGCCCCTAGTCCCTGTCGCGACCCGTCGACCCTAGGCCCGTAGCCCGCCCGTCGCCCCTAGGCCCCGGCACGACCCGTCAACCCCTAGGCCCCGGCCCCCCGTCGACCTCTAGCCCGGCGCGCCCCGTCAACCTCTTCGCCCGGCCCGCCCGTCAACCCCTGGGCCCCATCCCCCCCGTCGACCCCTACGCCAGGTGCGCCCCGTCGACCCCTAGGCCTCAGCCTCTTGTCGACCCCTAGCTTGGTGCGCCCCGTCGACCCCTAGGCCCCGGCCCCCCGTCGACCCCTAGCCCGGCGCGCCCCGTTGACCCCTAGGTCCCGGCCCCAAGTCGACCCCTACGCCAGGCCCGCCCGTTGACCCCTAGGCCTCGGCCCCCCCGTCGACCCCTATGCCCGGTGCGCCCCGTCGACCCCTAGGCCCCGGCCCCCCGTCGACCCTTAGCCCGGCGCGCCCCGTCGACCCCTAGGACCCCACCGTCGACCCCTACGCCCGGCCTGCCCGTCGACCCCTAGGCCACAACCCCCCACGTCAACCCCTACGCCCGGCCCGCCCGTCGCCCCTAGGCCCCGGCCTGACCGCCGCCCCTACAGCCAGCGCGCCGCGCGCTTGCGGCCCGCCAGCAAAGGACCTGGTTTTCCACCTTCGCACTAGCGATGCTTGCTACTGCGCTACCGTCCCAGGTGAGTTCCTTAACAGGAGTGGCGGGAGTGGGGGGCTTTGGTGGCGGCGATGGAGGCAGCGGTGGGAGTGGCGGTAGTGGCAGCGGTGGGAGTGGTGGCGGTCGGACTGGAGCTCAGCGTGGAGGTTCTCGAGGAGGCCAGAGGCAGCAGCAGCAGCGTCGGAGCGAGACCCCGTCGCCCCAGCAGCTTCGTGAGTGGTTTGCTCAGCATGGGGCGTCTGGGGGTGAGTGGAAGCTGCCTGTATGTCATTCGCACGGGTGACCGTGCTGGTCAGACATGTGGGAAGCCTCACACTCAGCACCGCTGCTTCTCATGCCCCGATGACGCTTGGCGCGCAGAGTTTGGTGACAAGGCCGAGCGCCCCCGGTGGGCAGAGCTGCTTAGGTCTGACCTAGACTATGATGTTATCCTTGCTGCTATGTATGCTTTGTCTGTTAGTGCTGAGGGTGACTGTTACCTGTGTGTGCCACCTGACCCAGGTATAGAGGCTGCTGCTCTAGGTGCTAGTGAGTCTTCTCTCCCTGGTACTACGCCTGCTGAGGCCTTGCACACCTTTACGCTTGACTCAGGTGCTTCCCGCTTTTTCTTTCGCGACAGTACCACCCTCACTCCAATCCCTGCACCTGTTCCGATCAGATTGGCTGACCCCTCGGGGGGCCCAGTTCTTGCCCGTTCTTCCACTATTCTCCCGTGTCCGGCGGTTCTGTCCGGCTCACTCTCAGTTCTTCACCTCCCCTCGTTCTCTACGAACTTGGTGAGTACCGCTGCCCTCCAGGATGCGATGGTCACTACCACCACTCCTGGGGGTCATCGTGTGTCGATCTGCACGTGTACACGGAAGGACCGTCACCTGGCCACGTTCACTTGTCGGCGAAGGCCGAGTCTGTACACACTGGCCACCAAGCCTCCTCAAATAGCTGCATCTGCCCAGGTGTCCGCGTAAGGTCAGGTAGCACCCCCTTGCTCGTGTCGCCTCCTCACGCACCAGACTCTTCTGTGGCACCACCACCTAGGTCACCCCTCCCTGCCACGCCTTCGTGGCATGCACTCCCGCCTTCTAGTCTCTGGTCTTCCCAGGTCTCTGCCTCCCCTCCCGCCCTCGCCTGCCTCGCTCTGCCTTCCTTGCGTCGAGGGGCGGCAGCGCGCCGCTCCTCACTCCTCCTCGTTTCCCCCGACGACTGCTCCCCTGCAGACTCTCCACATGGACGTGTGGGGCCCAGCCCGCGTCAGTGGACAGGGCCGCGAGCGCTACTTTTTGCTGGTTGTTGACGACTACACGCGGTGCACCACGATCTTCCCCTTGCGCAAAAAGGGTCAAGTTGTTGATGTCTTGATCCCTTGGATCCGTGCAGTCCGTCTCCAGCTCCGCGAGCGGTTCCGCCAGGATCTTGCTGTCCTGCGTCTGCACTCTGACAGAGGTGGTGAGTTCTCCTCCAACCTCTTGCGGGAATTTTGTCGTTGGGAGGGCATTCTCCTGTCGTTCACGCTTCCGGACTCCCCTCAGCAAAATGGGATTGCTGAGCGCCACATTGGCTTAGTCATGGAGGTCGCTCGTACCTCCATGATCCATGCGGCTGCTCCCCATTTTCTGTGGCCGTTTGCGGTCCGGTACGCTGCGCATCAGCTCAACCTCTGGCCCCGTGTCTCCTTGCCGGAGACCTCGCCTACACTGCGTTGGATGGGGAAGGTTGGCGATGCGTCGGTGTTCCGTGTTTGGGGTTCTCGTGCCATTGTTTGCGATACGTCTGCGGACAAGCTCTCCGCCCGCGCTATTCCCTGCGTCTTCCTTGGCTTTTCCCCTGACGCGCCTGGCTGGCAGTTTTACCACCCCACCTCACGCCGTGTCTTCCCCTCTCGGGATGTCACGTTTGACGAGTCGGTTCCCTTTTACCGTCTCTTCCCCTACCGCTCTGCCCCTCCCCCACTCCCGCCGCTCTTCCTTGCTCTAGGTCCCCCTCCGGCAGACCCCCTCCCCCCCCAATGTCCTGCTCCCTCAGGTGTGTCTCAGGTAGACCCTCTCCCTGGTACTGCGCCTGTTGAGGTAGTTGTCGGCTCAGATGCTGCTCGAGGTGCTGCGTCTGAGGGTGCTGCGTCTGGGGGTGCGGAGCCTAGGGATGCAGAGTCTGAGAGTGCCGGGTCTAGGGGTGCTGAGCCTGGGGGTGCGGAGCCTGGGGGTGCTGAGCCCACAGGTGTGGAGCCTGGGGGATCTGAGCCTGAGGGTGTGGAGCCTGGGGGTGCTGAGTCTGAGGGTGCGGAGTCTGGAGGTGCTAAGCCGCGGGTGTCACATCATATGCATTCAGTGCATATGCTATAACAGTGGGATGCAGGTATAGTTATTATGCTAACGTACGACCATAGGTGTAGGAAGGCTTATATATTAGGAATAGTATAGGGGTGTAGAATGTAGTGATATGTCTGTTGTAGAGGGGTGTAGAAGGGGGGAACCGAATTGAAGCGGTTGGAATCACGGGGGAAAGGGACTGAAGGGCGAATTGTGAAACCAGGGAACACCAATCCCGAGCCGCGCATTTGGGAAATGTGCAGCTCGGGGCTGGGTAAGGTCCCTCACGCCCACCCCTTCCTTGCCTTTGGCTTGTTGTTCTCTCGAACTAGTGAAGGTTGTCATCTACGTAGCACACCGTGGCACGTCACTAAGAGGGGAACCTACGGGGTGAGGGACCAAACACTTTCATAACAAGCCAAAGGTACCGAGGCTGCGCAAACATGGATAAGTACGAGTTGCGCTGGGGTAGGATGTTTAGCCGTCGCGAGGAGGAACGGCCGCGACGTGAGCCGTCACGCGAACGAGGGGGATCATTGGAGAGATCGCCGCGCCGGCCAGCCTTCCGCGCGGACCGAATTCCCCTCGCAAGGGACCGTCGGGAGGAAGGATCGCCGGGCGAGGGAGCAGGCAATGCGGGCCAGGTTGGAGGCGTCGATAGAGACGCGTGGCCGCAAGAAAGAGCGCGCGGGATCGGCGGTGAAAGAGAAACCCGCCGCGACGAAGGAAGGTTCCGTTCTCCGGAGGGGCGAGGATGGCGCCGTGACGACCGCGGCCGTTGGCAAGGCCTCGAGGAAGTTCCCCGGGGACGAAGAAGAGACATGCGCGGCGGTGATCGCATGGAGGGCGTGCAGGAGAGCGCAGCACAGGAAGTGAACGGGGAGCAGGGCGCGGAAGCGGACGAGGAGGACCCGGGGCTGCATGTCAAGGGTGCTGACGAGGGAGATGGCGGCGAGGACCAGGCAGCGGGAATCGACGTGGCCGAACCCGCTCAGGCGGACGAGAACGCTGGCGCGAGCCAGGCGGAGGAATCCCACGGGCGAAACGCCAGCCGCGGGGACGAGCAGCGCGCCGAGGGCTCGCTTCGGCAGGAGCGAGTGGCCCAGGGCGAGAGTGCGCGCGATGCACAGACGCAGAGACAACGTGGCACAAGAAAGGCGGAGCGGTCGCGCACGCCAGAAAGGGGTCAGTATCGCGGAGATTGGCGCGGGGGGGACTTCAGATCGGATGACAGGCGAGAAGAGCAGGGAGGATGGAGCGGCGGCAGCGTGCGTTCGCCGGAGCGGCAGCAAGCGCGCGGGGGCAGATGGAAGGATGAGCCACGCTCTCCCGAGCCGCACGGGCGTCAGGGAAGGATGGACGGGACGGAGCTCTGGACGCAGGAGCGGCGCGGTCGGCAGCAATGGGAGCGCGGCAGCGTGGTGCGCGCACCGGATCGGTCAAGGCAGGGAGAGAGAGGGAACCGCGGAGGGTCCCGCTCGCCAGACGATCTCCGGCAGAGGGGGGGGAAAGAGGAAGGAGAAGGGCATTCGCCTGAGCACCGCCAGCAGCGCAGCAGAAGGGGAGGCACCTGGTCACCACCGCCAGAGAGACGGCGGCACCGCGAGACGAGCAAAGGGAAAGGGCGGAGGATGCACGACCTGCCAACGCAGCAGTGGGCTCGGGCAGAGGAATGGGCAGGGCCGAGAGAAAGGCGCCGCGAGGCGGAATGGAGTCGGTAGGAGGGCGGGAGTTTGGTGTACGACGCGGAACGGGCACGGGAGGCCAGTGAAGGCATGCAGAGAGAAAGGGAGAGAGGAGCAGAGAGCAGTCGGCCGGGAGGGGCTAGCGAATCGTGGGGAGAGGGGCGAGGGGGTGCTGCCAGGGCGCCTCGGGTAGAAGTGCCCGCCAGGTTCTCAGGAGACCAAAGCGCAGTGCCGACCCTCAAGAATTACCTGATGCAGGTGGGAAATGTGCGCTACTGCTGTGACAGACACAATGTGGACCCCATGGACTTTTTCCTGAGTTTACCGAACACACTAGAGGGAGAGGCCGAGACACTGTACCATATGCGGATGGAGGAACTGCTATGGAGGGCAGGGAAGTATGGGGAAGACCCCACCGAGGCATTCCTGGAGCGGCTACAGCGGCAATTCCCAGGGCACATGGCGGAGCGCATAAGGGAGTTCCAAGAATTCAGGAGGGGACGAGCGGAGTCGCTACTGACCTACTACAACAGGCTGATTAATGTGGCGGAGGACGTGAAGTGTGCGGACAATAGCCTTCTCATCAGCAAGTTCTTGGGAGGCCTGGACGAGGCCCTGGGGGGGGGGCTGAGGATGAGGGTGTACGAGTTAGGGGCTGAGGCGGCACTAGAGGAGGTATTCGAGCTAGCGGAGAAGGTTGAGCTCGCACAGCGGAAATATGAAGCATACCTGCCGAGGCCGACAGAGAGGAGCCGCAGGCCAACCTGGGCGGCAGCCATGATACCTGAGGAGAGGGGGAGGGCAGACACGCGAGCGGAGATGAGAGCGGACACCCGCACGTGTCACCGGTGCGGGCAGGTGGGGCACCTCCACAAGGACTGCAAAAACTGTGATGGCTGTGGGAAGCCGGGGCACCGGAAGAGAGAATGTCCAGATGCAGCCAGGTATGAGATCTGTGGGAAGAAGGGGCATGATGCCAAGGAGTGCTATCAGAGGGAAGGGGGAGTAAGGAGAAACCCCGAAGAGCTGCAACGACAGATCAGCAGGTTACAGTCTCAGCTGCAAGCCATGGGGCCAAGGTGGGAGGCAGAGGCAGGAATGTACGCCAGAGATGACGAAGGGGAGGAGGTGGAGCCGGACGCTCAGTGTGCTCTGATGGCATGGAGGGGGAGAGAGGAGATGGGGCTACGGAGCGGGGGCAGGGATGGCATGCAGGAACACGGCAGGAAGGAACATGAACGAGGACACAAGCCAGACCCTGTGGCGCAGGAGAAAACCCCAGCACGCCACCCGCAAGAGAGACTCGCATGTCAGACTTCGGTGCTACTAGTGGGGGCAGGAGCAATGGAGGTAGAAGGGAAGCAGGTGAAGATGGCCATCATTGACACAGGAGCACAGAGAGTGATGCTGGGCAAGGGGATGGCAGAGCGGTTAGGACTAATGGCCCCAGAGAGGCAAGTGGCGAAGGGCATGTTGGTGATGACAGCAGAGGGAGGGGAGCCGAAGTGGATGCCATGCACACGGACACCCATAGAGCTGACACTGTTGCCAGGAGGGGAGCATGAGACCCGAATCAGGATCAAATGTGGGATTTCCGAGTCGGAGGACTTTGATGTGTTGGTAGGGACGGAGATGGTGTTTGCAGTGGGCATGAGTATTTGCACCTGGACCGAGAAGGTGGAGTTCCGTACGAGGTATTGGAAGACGGAGGGACCCTTGGGGCAGCTTCCGGTGCAATTTGTTAAAGTGGAGCCGAAGAGGGCATACCAGGCCAGCGCAAGAGAAGCATCGGAGAGGGAGCAAACAGGGGGACAGGTGGGGACAGAGGAGATCAGAGGGGGGCCCAGGATGAAGCTGATAGACGCCCCAGGGAAGCAAAGCGACTGGCAGCAGCCCATTCGCTTGGTGGAGCTGTTCGGGGGAATTGGGGCAGGGCTGGCAGCAGTGGTGAAGAATGGGATATCAGTGCAGCAGTGGATATATGTAGAACAAGCGCCGGAGGTGAGGAAGATGGCGGAGCATCACGCATGGAGGTTGCAGGCCGAGTTCCCAGAGCTCCTGAGTGCAGAGGTGATTCGAGACACCATGGGCAGCACCCTTCATGACGTGAGCCAGGTGACGGAGGCGCAGGTGGCCAGCTGGGGGCAGGTAGATCTGCTGGTGGCGGGATGGGAATGTCAAGGGGTGTCTTGGGCTGGAAAGAGGAAGGGAGGGGAGGACCCGAGAACGAAGCTGATAGAGAGTTTGTTTCGCATCTTGGAATGGCTGCAAGAAAGACAAGGAAGGGTGGCGTACCTGTTGGAGAATTTGGACCTAGAAGGGGATTGCCGTGAGCCGATTCGGCTGGTGAGAGAGAGGATCAGCAGACAGTTGGGGAAGGGGATCAGCTGTGACGCAGCCAGGGCGGGGTCTTATGCACACCGGCTGAGGATGTATTGGCAGAACGTCGTCCCGGTGTTGAAACTGCAAGAAGAGGTGGAGGGGGTGAAGAGAGCAACGGGGAGAAGGGTGCTGGACATCTTGGAACCAGGGCGGACTCCTGCATCAGTGTGCCAGAAGGGCTACAGCAAGCACTACCCTTGCAACCAGGTGGGACGAGACAGGAGAGCCCTCCCCACCCTGGTGTCGTATGTGGGCGCAGCCGACTACAAATGGGAAGGGGGGAGGCCGGGGCCAGGACTGGTGTACGATCACAGGCAAGGGCGGTGGGAGGAACCAACGGCGTTGGAAAGGGAGCTAGCCATGGGGTATGGGGAGAACGTGACAGCAGCCACAGGGGTGAGCGAAGAGGAGAGGAGGAGGGCGCAGGGGAACGCCATGGACAGATACATGATGAGGTGGCTGGTTCAAAGGATGTGGAGGGAGACGGTCTTGAGCTGGGGGCATGAAGCAGAGGGAGGGGCGGCAGCGCCAGTCCCACAAGGAGCTTGGACCTGCAAGGAGGAGGAGAGAAAGCAGTGGACGGTAGGGGAGGCGATGAGTGAAGAAGGAAGGGAGGCCATGCGGGAGCTGCTAGACAAGCACAGGAAGTGCTTTGCCTTCACGCTGCAGGAGTTGGGACGGTGCAAGGTGAAGGAAATGGAGCTGAAATTGAATAGCACGGAGCCGGTATTTCACCGCAGGAGGAAGATGCCGCACGGAGATGAGGAAGTCTGCAAAGAGAAGGTTAAGGAGCTGCTGGAAGCAGGACTGATTAGACGCTCAGAATCAGAATACGCTACACCAACGGTGGTGGCTGCGAGGAAGGACCTGACAGGGGAGATACTAAGCAGGAGGATGTGTGGCGACTACAGAGCGCTCAACAAGATCACCATAGCCGACAGGTACCCGATGCCGATAGCGGAGGAGATATTTGACAAGCTAGCAGATGGGGTCTTCTTCACGACGCTGGACCTGCGGCAGGGGTTCAATCAAATCAAAATCAGAGAGGAAGACATAAAGAAGACGGCGTTCCATGGGCCAGACGGGCTGTACGAATGGCTGTACATGCCATTTGGGTTGAGGAATGCGTCAGCCGTGTTCCAGAGGGTGATGGATGCGGTGCTGCGAGATGTGGAATGCGCGGCCTGCTACATAGATGACGTGGTGATCTTCAGCACCACTGAGCAGAAGCACCTACAGGATGTGGGTAAGACGCTGGCGGCACTGGAGGCAGCAGGACTCACGTGCCACCCCAAGAAGTGCAGGTGGGGGGAGCAAACGGTGCAGTACCTGGGGTATGAGGTGAAGGGGGGGCAGATTGGGATCCAGCAGGCAAAGGTAGGGGTCTTGGACAGGCTGCGGGAGCCCAAGGACAAGTCAGGGCTGAGGGCAGTGCTAGGCTTCCTGAGCTACTACCGGCGGTTTGTACCCAACTTCAGCAAGTGAGCAGCAGCATTGAATGGGCTGCTAAGGGAGGACAGGGCCTGGGAGTGGAGAGAGGCACAGAAAGGGGCACTGCAGGACTTGATGACAGCGCAGTGAAGACAGCAACCTTGCTGCAATTGCCAGCCGCTGACCAGCCGTTCACCCTCTACACCGACTGGAGCAGCCAAGGGATGGGGGGGATACTGTGTCAAGAGGTGAAGGGAGAGGAGAAGGTGGTGGCATACGCGAGCAGAAGCTGTAATTCAGCAGAGGCGCAGTATAGCTCGTACATCGGAGAGGGGTTGGCAGCAGTATGGGCCGTGGGGCACTTCAGATTGTACTTGCAGGGCCGAGAGTTCACCTTGGTAACAGATCATCAGCCCCTGACATGGCTGATGACGACGCCGGGGTTGACGGGCAGGAACGCACGGTGGGCAATGAAGCTGCAGGAATATGACTTCAAGATCAGACACAGGCCCGGGAAGACCCTACAGCACATAGTCGGGCTCTCCCGAAACCCCCCACCACTGGAACCGACAGTGACATTGACGCTGCTGGCCAAACAGGTAGAGATGAACGGGGTAAAGGGAAGCAGGGGTCCAGCAGACATCTAGGAAGATGAACAGGCCATGCGGTGGGTAAAGAGGGAAACAGGGGAGGATGAGGCAATGCCAGAGAGGGTGAGAGCAAGGGGGCACCACTACAGGTGGAACCAGCAGCAGCTACAGATACAGACGGAGGAAGGATGGAAGTTGGTGCCAGCACCGGGCGAAAGGGCAGCAGTGATTAAGGAGGTACACACAAAGCTGGGACATTTCGGACATGAAAGGACTGTACAGCTACTGAAGACAGGGTGGTGGTGGGAAGGGATGCGCAGGCAGGTGCAGAAGTGGGTGGAGGGCTGTGAAGCATGCCAACGAAGCAGGGCCAACCTCAGCCAAGCACGGGCTGAGCTGCAGTCCTTGCCCATCCGAGGCCTGGGCTTCAGATGGTCCCTAGATCTGGCCGGGGAGTTGTCGCTAAGCCGAGGGGGAAACCGGTACATAGTGCTGATGGTGGAGCATGTGAGCAAGTGGCTGGAGGTGAGGGCTATCCCCAGCAAAAGCTCGAGGCATGTGGCAGCGGCGTTCAAGGAGCAGGTGATATGCAGATTTGGAGCATGTGCAGAGGTGCTCACCGATTAGGGAACAGAGTTCCAGGGGGAGTTCAAGAAGCTGCTAGAAGAGGCTGGAATCACTCA